TCTATAAGTTTCTCTGCAGACACAAACTTTTAGCTGCATTCTATAAATTTTGATGTGTAGTATTTTTATTATCTGCTGTCCAGAATATTTTCTAATTTACATTGTGGTTTAGAATGATATTGCTTAATTTCTAAACATATGAGGATTTACTAATTAACTTTTTGTTATTGACTTTCATCTGAATTCCACTGTGGTCAGAGAAGATACCCTTTGTGATTTGTCATTTTTTGATTTTTTTTGTGGTAAAAGACACGTAATAAAATTTAGCATCTTAACCATTTTTTAAGTATATAGTTCAGTGGCATTAGGTCCATTCACATTGTTGCGCAACCATCGTCATCATCCATCTCCAGGACATGTTTCATCTTCCTAAACTGAAATCTATACCCATGAAACAATAGTTCCCCATTCCCCCTCCCACCAGTCCCTGACAACCACCATTCTATTAATACTTTCTGTCTCTATGAACTTGGCTACTGTGGATACCTTAAATAAGTGGAATATTATACTGTTTGTCCTTCTAGCTTATTTTCTTAATATAATTCATCAAGGCTCATCCATATTGTTGCATGTGTCAGAATTTCTTTTCTTTGTATAATTGCATATAATATTCCATTGTATGTATGTACCACATCAAAAAGAATAAATACTGAGGAATTAATTAACCAAGGAGAATGAAAACTATAAAACATTGCTGAAAGAAATTAAAGAAGACATAAATAAATAGAAAGACATCCCATGTTCATGGATTGGAAGACTTAATATTGTTAAAATTTCAGTGTTGGCCAGGCATAGTGGCTCATGCCAGTAATGTTAGCCCTTTGGGAGGCAGAGGTGGGAGAATCACTTGAGGCTAGAAGTTCAAGACCAGCCTGAGTAATATAATGAGACCCTGTCTTCACAAAAAAAAAAAAAAAGAAAAAAATAGCCAGGCTCAGTGGTATGTACCTGTAGTCCCAGCTACTTGGGAGGCCGAGGCAGGAGGATTGCTTGAGCTCAGGAGTTTGAGGTTACAGTGAGCTATGATGATGCCACTGCACTCTAGGCTGAGCAGTAGAAGAAGACCCTGTCTAAGGAAAAAAAATTCCAATATATACATACATACATATATATATGTATAATGTCAGTGCAACCAAAGGTGATCTACAGATTCCATACAATCCCTATCAAAATCCCAGTAATTTTTATAAAAGCTTTTATTTATTTATTTTGAGACAGGGTCTCCCTGTTTCACCCATCCTGGAGTGTAGTAGTGTGATCATAGCTCACTGTAGCTTTGAACTCGTGGGCTCAAGTGATCCTTCTACCTCAGTCTCCCAAGTAGCTGGGACTACAGGTGTGTACCACCATGTTCAGCCCCAGTGATGTTATTTTGCTGACTTTCTTTTAATTAGAATATTTAGACCATTTATAAATATTATTTATACATAACATTATTTATAAACTTATTGATAATGTGTTTATATCTCTCATCTTACTATTTACGTTGTCTTGCTGATGCTCTGTTCTTTTTGCCTTCTTTTTTCTCCTTCATTCCTTTCCTCCTCCATTCCTCCTTTCATTGGATTAATTATTTTTAATTTTCCTTTCTATTAACTTGATAATTATTTCTTTATTATTATTTTTTGAGACAGAGTCTAATTCTGTTGCCGGGCTAGAGTGTAGTGGCATCATCATAGCTCACTGCAACTTCAAATTCCTGGGCTCAAGTGATTCTTCTGCCTCAGCCTCTCAAGTAGCTAGGACTACAGGGGTGTGCCACAATGCCTGGCTAATTTTTCTATTTTCTGTTTTTGGTCTTACTCTCTTGCTCAGGCTGATCTCGAACCCCTGGCCTTAAGCACTCCTCACACCTGGGACTCTCAGAGTACTAGGATTACAGGTGTGAGCCACTGTGTCCAGCCCCCTCCTTTTAAAAACTATTTATCAGTTAATCTAGAAGTTAAAATAGGCATCTCTGACTTACAAAACTAATAAAAATGAGTAAGTATAGCTTTTCCTGGACCATGCAGAGACCGTAGAACACTTGAGCACTTTAATTCCATTTACCACTTCCTAACTCATATGTTGGATATTTTAATCTATGTTTGTTTTATTTCATTTATTTCATTTCAGTTTTTGGAGACAGGGTCTTGCTATCTTGTTCAGGCTGGAGTGCAATGGTGTCATCATATCTCACTGTAGCCTCAAACTACTGGGTTCAAGCGATCCTCCTGCCTCAGCCTCTCGAAAAGCTGGGACTGCAGACATGTGCCACCATGCCTAGTTAATTTTTTAAATTTTTTGTAGAGATGGGATCTTGTTATGTTTCTCACATTTGTCTCAAACTCCTGGTCTCAAGCTATCTTCCCACCTTGGCCTCCCAAAGTGCTAGGATTATATGCATGCACCACCACACCCAGCCTATGTATATTTTAAACCTAAAGAACTGATATTATCACTTTATGTTGTCCATATTCATGTAGATTTACCCATATCTTTTACTTTTTTCTTGCTCTTCATCCCCTGCAGTATCCTCACTCTTCTATCTGGAATTTTTTTTTTCCTTGAAGACCACCCCATCCATTTTTCTTTGCTTAAACTGTCTTAATTTTTGCCTTCCTCTTTTTTTTTTTGAAATTTTTATTGTGGTTACATATATAAAATTTACAATTTTAGTCACTTTTAAATTTTTTAATTGTGGCATAGTATACATAAAACTTAAAAATAACCATCTTGGCCGGGTGCGGTGGCTCACGCCTGTAATCCTAGCACTCTGGGAGGCCGAGGCGGGCGGATTGCTCGAGTTCAGGAGTTCGAAACCAGCCTGAGCAAGAGCGAGACCCTGTCTCTACTATAAATAGAAATAAATTAATTGGCCAACTAATACATATATAGAAAAAAT